TGTATAAGAATGAAAACTGGTTGAGTGATCCTGTATATTTCTGAAGGAAGGACTTTTCACTATGTGAATTCTTGTAGAAAGCTTGACTGACTTTGTTTCCAAGTCAATGAGTATGAAAACTGAAATGTATTCTTATTCCCACTGTCTGCAGGGAGAGAAGTGAGTGGCAAGTTATGCACAAACACTAAAGATCTCTGAATTCTGTATTTTATGTTTACTGTATGAGGCTTTCTACCGAGTACCGCAGTTACTTTGACAAACTGTTAGAGCTGTCCTGTTGCTGGCAAGGAGGGCACCCCATCCCCTTTGCTCTTGCAACAAAACCATGTGTTCTTCACCATAATGTCTCCTGTATTTTCTCTTGGATAAAGGCCTCTATTTTTTAACAAGTGCATTCAATCACTGTATGTATAAATGGAGTCAAGTCCTATCTGTCTTAGCAGTTTAAGAAGTAAGGTACTTGGGATAGGATGGTTATAACATCATGGGGCCACCTCACAACTTAGGGGAGAGTGTATGCATGAAGAATTTTGACAACTGATTTTAATATGGCAACTTTTACATTTCACTGTCTGTCGACAAGTTTCATGGGGTTTTATTCATTTTTCATGAAAAGCAAACAAAACCACGAAGTGTTTGAAACATCCCTTTTTGCCTTGTTTGACTTTGTACAGCATACTGGAAAGTAAGTATTATACATAATGACAATTTGTACTATTTTATGTTATACTGTAACACACTGTACAATTGATATAGGCTGTTTGTATTTACAGTATGTCACTAAGCTACTGCTTTTAATGACTCAGAAGTTGTTTCATAGATGGAGACTAGACAGACTTGATGAATTTAAGATATGTTGAAAGGTAGTGCATATACTTTAATGTAGGAATAGTTACTTGTAGCACTGGGTAACTGAGTTTTCATTTTACTCCCCCCCCTAAATCTAAAGTGGATTTTTTTTTTTTTTTGAGACCTTGCAGTGCTTGTTCTCTAATATGACTGTGACAGACACTGCTCAAATTAGCATCTTTCTGGGAAGTGCCCTGCATGTATGCTGCTTGAAAATTTTGATTCTTTATTCTGCTGGGGTTAGTGTGTAGATGTAAACCAGATGACTTGTAGATTGCAGGAACCCTTAGGTATTCACATCACTCTTCAGTGGCACTAACGTTTGCCTTTTGGAAGAAGACACATGCCTAAATGTTTTAGCACTTGTGTTCTCCCTCATGAATAATTTTTATTACAAACATTACTTCATTCTCCACTCAAAGTGTACCCACTAAAATATCATATGTTTTAGTTGGCAAAAACTACAGGTGCGGGGCTGCTAATAAAAATGCTCTTCTCTTTGTATCCCTGGGACTGCATGGTGGGTGTGGATGTAGCTCTCTTACGTCCATGATACTCTGGATTAAGAGCAAGAGATTCTTGTGCCACAAGACACAAAATTCATTGCACTCCTGTATATTCTTTGTATATCTTGAAGAGCTCATTGGCTGTATTATCTGGATCTTGCCACAATTTTTTGCCCTTGGCTGATAAAGCTAACACTAGCAGGAAACTTCAGTGGTTGTTAATGTCTTAGTGAAATAGGGATTCGCTAAAGAGTATGACACTACAGCTTTGTCACTTCTCTGTTGTATCCATTCAGTGAATGGGTGTTCTCCCAGTACGTGGGGCATCGTTAGATGCAGAGCAGTAATGCTAGGGATGTATTTCCAACTGGAAATAGCAAATCTCAAAGTTGTATGACTGATCACACGAATTTTTGTGCTTGTGTGTGTGTGGTTAATTTAAGAAAAACTTTATATATTCCACTTAAGACAATTTTGAAACTTTCTTATTTTCAGTGTTTCTTAAGGCAACACTTTGGTAGTCAAAATGCCTGAATTACCACACTGTCAGTCTGAATTCCTGCTTAATTTTTATGCTTCAGTAAAATATAACTTTTTATTTTCTTCATTATTGGGCTGCAGCACATCTGACATGAAGTTTTCATTCACATTATTTCTGTAGAGGTGGGATAATCTAAAGAGCATTGAGCAGCTGAACATGCAGCACTCGGGGGGGTTATGTGAGGTACATGCACAAGACTCAGCAAGCCTGCCCTTGAAGCTTCATGCGCCCTTCAGGCTGAGAGCTCCTGCTGTTAACAGGTGAACATCTGCCCTTCTCTGTGGGAGTTCATCATGCAGCAAGCCAACACACATGCTGCTGCATTCCAGTGACACTACCTGAGCCCCTGCTGCTTTTCTAAGTGTAGTCATAGGCCTTCGGTTGAAGTTCCAGTACCTGAATTGTACCGAAATTAGAGTGCAAGGATGGTCCAGCAAGCTCGAATTCATAGAAACGACCTTGCCATCTTTTTGTAGGAAGCAAAAGTTGTGCAGATCTTCTTTCTAATGCACAAGTAGTATTGAGAGAATAAAATAATTCTCTGTTAAATATGGCATCCAAGCATATAATCACAATTATAGAATGAAAAACACAGCAATGCTTAAGATGAAAGGTGCTATTAATGGAATAAGAGAAACCTGCTAATGTTCTATGTTGAAGTGTTCTATATGAGTTATCTCAACACCAGGTGGGTCCTAGTACTGAACTTGGCTCATTCTCAGGTTTCTTGTAGAAGGGTAATACTGATAAATAGTTTGTCAGTTCTGCAAAACTCACTAAAGTTGATGAGAAAAATTTAAAATTACTGTGGACCAGAAGAAACACCACTCTCATTGTGAGGATTAAGATGCATTGTCACTAATGGCTTAAATGTAACTGGCTAGAAGAGGAAATGTACATAACTGGTTTTATCACCATCATGATCTCAAGTAAATGTAACAGATTTGTTGAACAAAAGTCAACATACCATAAATCTTCAATCAGAAGAATCAGTGTTTAAAACTGAGTGTCTTGTGTGTGTATGCTATTCTGCAAAATCCCTACAAATTAATTCTGCTGTTCTCTTGTAAGTGACACTAGTTGCATCATGCAACTTAAAACATTTGTTTGCTTATTGTTGGGTCTGATATAAGTCACTACTTTTGTGGTTATATTAAATTGTCAGTATATTAAATTTCAAAAATTGCTGTAACTACAAGCTGTGCAACCTCAATCTGATTGAGAAACGTGTGCTTGATTCTTGGGTGTGTGTTGCCAACAGCTGGGATCCAAGGCAGCACATGAGAGCACTGAAAGGAACAAGTGTGGATGCCCTAGACAAACAGAAACAGTGTTTCTTAGCTCTTGCCTCTGATTTCTTTACCATGTGGTTGAAATACAAAATAGGGATTCTTTTCTGGTCATTTTGCTTTTTTTGATTGGTCTGGCCAATACAGTGACAATGTTTAAGATTGTAGACATTGGAAGTGGCACTAAAGTATTATTAATATATCAAAGATGCCTGGTACATTTTCTGAAAATAAACAGGTAAATAGTCACTAGTGATGGTTAGTTGGGGGTTTTGCATTGTTTTGGTATTTTTTCTTTTTTTAGTAAAACACAAATCAGCATTTGCATCTGCCTCTTTACACAGGTATCTGAAGAATATCAGAAGTAACATACTCCTGCTTCCTCTTGCATGCAGTTTTAACACAGAAAATCAGTGTGTTTGCTTAACACCCTGCTAAGGATTAATTGGCAGGGTTTTAGGCTCATTCCAGAGGCATTAGACTAGATGGCCTTCATCACTCCCTTCTAACTCACCTCTTCTGCAATTCTGTGATAGCACAAGTGCTATAAAAAAATTTTTTCTAGGTATCAGTACAAAGAGGATCTAAGAAAGAAAACAAAAATACTTTTTTTGCCTGAATAACCTTATAATGGCCTTAAAAACCCAAATATTGAAGGAATAATCTAAGCAACAAGACGCTATTCAACTTAAATGTTGCACAGCGTGAGTTCTGAAAACAGCCCAGGCTGTGTATTACTGTAAAGGGTTTTAATACTGTTGAACAGCTTGAAGATTTTTTAAAGTGGAATTACAGAATTAATGTCACCAACTCTTAGAAACTTCTCACAATCTCGAAGCTGAAACTTGAACTGCATTTGAAGCACCCACCTGAAGTGCCATTTCTGCAAATTAAATGCAGCGACAGTGACCTCATAGCAGCTGAAGTTTCCAAGAAGGACAGCTCTTTAGTTTTCCTGCAGAGCCCCTGAGGCCATTCAAGGCATTTAAAACCACAGGCTCCTGACTGTTGGCTGTGCAGGAGCCTGATGTGCAGGGTCTCACCGTGGCCCCAGAGCATCCAGGTGTGACACTCCAGCTGTAACACCGTAGGCACTGCCACCAAGGCAGCTGTGGTGGGTGGCATCACTCAGACCTTTTGGGCTCCTTCAGCTGAGCTTTAACCTGAGGCAAGTTGAGCAGGCTGGTGGCTGAGCAGAGAGCACCCTGCTCCCCTCAGGGCACAGCCACCCTTGGGTGAAGTATTGCAAGACTGGCCAGGCTCCAGGGGGTGACAAAATTTCAAGCACACCCTAAAATCTGCAACTTTTGACCCACAGCCACAGAGCTCAGTAATGATGTGCAGCAGTTACTGTGAGAGACTGGAAGATAAAAAACCAAACCAAAAACCACTCACACAAAGAGGTGAGTAATGCTAGATGTACAAAGCACCATCCTACACAAGACACAAAAATAGTGTTTGCCTGGTGAGAAGTCAAAATGTTTTGCTCTGTGGCTTCATAGATGATGAAAAAGTGGAGTAGTAGCTGATGTACAATTCCTCTTTCTATTATCTTTAAAAAAAACACACAGCAATCTCAAATGAGCTTGTGGGAGCAGAATGGTTCAGCAGGCATGGGGATTTTGAGAGGTAATTTCTAGCCTAGCTAGTAATCCCTGGGATACATGTGTTGCTTTTCACTTAGTTACAAACTGGAGGTAGCTGTCTATCTCTAACAAAGTATTGTGATTGGTTTATTCAAAATATTCAAAAAGTGCAAAATTATAAATGGTGATGAGTAGAACACTGTGTTGTTTATGAAAATACCATAAACAGTTTATTAATTATTTTGATTTATTGTCATAATTTGTCTTTTGTCCCCAAAAGTCTGGTTCACACACTACATATACAGGAGAGAAAAGCTGAAATCTCATGATAGGACAAAACTTTAGTTTAAAAAACCCAGGAGAATGGAGGAAAGGCTAGATTTTCGGTTTCTGTCAGTTCAGCAGAAGCACAATTACAATTTGCAATAGAGCAGTATCGACTCTACAGAAGAACTGATATCATTCCTTACTGCCAAAAGAAAATGCCAATGCTACCAAAACCCATTAAATGCCTGCACCTCGCAATCAAAGATACTTTGGTGCATGTGGATGTGTATATACGTGTGTGCTCGTACAGAGAATTCTTTTCTTGGCTACTGTGTGCTTTTTATGGGCACTTGCTCATCCTGTGGTTTGCCAGAAGTAGCCAGAAGGATACGTTAATCCTGTTTGCTGTTGCAAGACTGCCGAACAGATGATTTCTGATGCTCCAGCAATGTGATAGACTTTTCAGAATTTTCCAAGTTTCTGAGCAGAGTCTCTAGGCGCCTTTTGATTTTCTTCTGATCCTCAATGGCACATCCGATGACCACAGACTGAAATTTCTGATCGATGGGTCCTGCTGGCACATCGGACGTGCAAGCACCGTAAAGTGACATTAAACGCATTTTGGCGTCTTCCAAATCATCAAGGAGTTTATTGACGATCTCATCAATCATCTTGGTGGCGTGCAGAAGGGATTCCTGCTGCTGCGCGTTGCGGATGGTTTCCACGGAAACCTCCACAGTGAGGGTTCGGCCCATCAGGCGATTAGCAGTCAAATTAAGTTCTTCTCTCTCACCTCAATTCAAAACAAGAAAATATTCTTGGTTACAGGCAAATACTTTCCTGTGCAAGTAGCATCATCAAGACACTCAAACTGCTATAACTTAGCAATAAACAATTTTTTTAAAAGTAAGTGACAATCAACAAGATTTCCAGGAGGCAGAAATAAGCTTTTTACATTTGCCCAAGTCATACTCATTTCATAGAGTATGATTTGAAATGAGGCATTAAACTCTACTAAAATTGTAAGCAATGTTTTTCCACTGCTGACACAATGCTTGCTGTGTCACTTCAAAGCAAAACATACAATATTATGAGGAAACAGATTCAGTAACAGAACTGGGTCATTAAGGACTTCTGTGCCATTCTGAGGGAGAGATTTAGACAATACCCCAGAAGGCCATAAAGAGAGAAGTAGATATAATAAGAGGCCATGAAAAAACTGGTTTTCTGAAAGCATAGCTGCTTTTCAAAAGTATGAAACATAGGCTCTTCAAGAGCCAATAAACTAGCAATTTAAAGCACCTAATAATCAGGTTTAGGGAATATATTTAAAGACATGAATCACACAATTACAATGATCTTAATCATCTGGTTCTTGCAGGCTGTACACTTTGTAGCACTCATGCCTGTCCAGTAGTCAAAATAATTTTCAACTCTGTTATCATCATCATCATCAATGTCTCTTCCGCAGGAGAGCAATGTTAATCTTGATTTTGAAAATGTATCCATGAACTGAGTGTAGGTTTTCACATATACAGTAGTGACGTTCATGGTACTCCATCCACCTAATCAGCATGGATTTAGTCAAGAAGAGGAGATCTCAGGATAATGAGTGACATTTCAACAACCTCAGCTGGTTCCAATGCTGCACCTTTACCAGCGGCAGAGAGCTGCTCACAGAGTTGCTCCCTAAAAGGTGGGCTGATTAGACTTTGGGTCAGTTGGAGGGTACAGGACAGTGGCTTCTCACCTTCACTGATGTGCCTCATATCCTGGCTGTTCTGTATATTGTGGATCATTTCAAGCAGAATTTCTTTCTCTTGCTCCATAGCAGATGCTGCATCACGGAAAGCCTCTACCCTGTACATGGTTGAACCAAACAAAATGTTTAAATAATAAAATAGCTGTTCACCTATACAGCTGCAAAGAACACTTATTTTAAATTTCAGCTTAGAGTAAGTACAGTCAGTTCTTAGTTATCCATGAGACAGACTCTGACTTCATTACCTTATCTATCTTAACTTCACTTTTCAAGACTCAGTATAATTAAACAAACAAATGGAGGGGCAAACAGAAACAGCAGCAATTCAATCAGACTTAAATCTTTAATTTTACTGACAGTGCTGTTCTATCCTACTCTGTGGTTATCTGGATATGGAGACCCTGATGGTACTACAGCCCCACAGCAGAAGTCCTGTAGCCAACTGCCAATTATTGTCAGCTGCCTAACTAGGAGAGAAAGGGACTGAGTCCCCATCAGGAAACTTGGCAGTGAGGGTGGCAGCTGCAGAGATGGAGGCAGCAGGGGGCCCTGGCTCCCTGTGTGATCACCAGGCTGGCAAAACCCATAGAATCCACCTGCAAAGCAACAAACACTCCTGAAAACTGCAATGTGCCAAACCACCCCTTTCACAAAGGAGAAAACCCTGTGAGTGGGACAAAGCTCACACTTTTATTAACATGACAAGGGTTTCCCTGACACAAGTGGTGTGCCTTGGTCACTGGGAGAAGATGCTGGACTGCCTGCTCCCATTCTCAGTGGTGCTTTCCATGGAATGATGCTCACTGTGACTCACACAGGGAGGAAGCTTCTGTGGGAGCAGCTCCTATTTCTGGCCTAGCAAGGAGGCATGAAACAGTCCCTCCTGAAACCAGACCCTTACTCCAGTCCCGTTACTGTGCTGAAACTCACATGTAATACAGTGAGGACAAGGGAAAAGTCCATCAGAGACTGCTGTCCCTGTAACTACTGAGTCTTGGTAAGGTGTGCGGTTCTGTGCCCACAGCCTGCCCTCCTTGTGGCATAAAATGCAGAATCAGCTCACCACGGCCAATGTGAAACTGCTGCATGAGAAATCTGAGTCCAGTTTCTGAATTCATATCTTATTCCCCACCACAGTTCTAAAGAGGGGGCTTTTGCATTCAGTTGAATAATGGAAAAGAACACTGGAGAATTCTAATGCGACCTGATACAAAAAAAGGGAAATGTCCCACACCCTTGGCTTTTCTCTGAGACTTGAGGATCTTGCAGAGGATTTTCCAAGCTGGAACTGGCTACAAGAGTTGTACCAAAGCCATCAACTCTGCATTCACAGGCCGCACAGAAAAGCAAGAGTATCATGTGAACCTGGCTGACGGTTTGAGATGCTTGCAATGCACAGCTTGGGAGGTCTAGCTGCATCACGAGAACCCATCCATCTCTCCTGAAATGTTTATGAAACCTGGCCAGAAAAGGGGAAACAAATCAAAACATTGTTAAATCTCTTAGGTGCTCTACACTCGTCAGCGTTTCTGGGCACTGCCCTGAGACAGCAGTGGCTCCCTGCTCTCTCTGCAGATGAGGGCGCGTCTCCTGGGACAGGAACGGAGCTGCTGCTCCCTCACAGGCTGGCTGAAGGCAGGTAACTTCAGGGAAACAGCAGTAAGAGAAAAGAGGGTGAAAGCAGAGGAACAGGAGCATTTGAGGATATAGTCACTCTTCACATGCAGCCTGCTCACGAAATGATTCTGTTTTACAAAATATTTAGCCTAATTTAATCACTGAAAGCACAGGCTTCAGGTCTTGCCTTTAATGTTTTTTCTGAGGAGGAGTGGGAAAAGCTAATGCAATGCAAATCCAAGAGCAAATACTTTTAATTATTATTTTGGACTGGTTAGTAAGAGCAATGAGGCAGGTGGAGTCATTTCATACTTCAGATGTCTCTATAATTTAGGAAGTCTAGTAATATTTTCAAAACGCCTTGCCATGACTTTTTATAAAAACTAGTTGCTGGAAAGATGTAAATTAAAGTTCTGAAGTGCAGACTTTCAATTTTGATAGTGTTTTAAAATCAGATTTTGTATATCATTGTACTGACATAAAAACTGAAGTTCTGCCTTCAGTAGATAGATCAGTCCGTGACTTCCAACAGCTTTGCTGGGTTCTAAGATGAATGTGGAAAAGCTGCATTGCAGGGATTTATCCTGAATTGGTACAATTCTAAAGAGATGCCTAAAATATCACTGCTTCCAAAGGCCAGTTTGGTATGCGAGGTAGGACCTAAAAGCCAAATTATCAGAAGTAATGTGTACTGCAAAAAAAGAAAAACACAGTTCACCAACTTGAGCTTTGATTGACATTAATTTACTAAAGGTAATATAACCAAATCTTAAGAATTATTTTATTTGCAAAAATTGCTTATTCAGAATTATTTTTACCATTTCCTAAACTGCAATACAGAGTGCCAAACAACAATGGGACAGGGTCATTTCAGAACAGTGGGGAAAAAAAACCAAAACCCAACAAAAAAAAAAATGGAAATCAGTTACACCAACTTCAGGAAAATAATGTGTCAGGATCACACCATGCAGTCAGTTCTCATAACTTCTTTCCTAAAATTAATGGTTTCTTAACTTCACAGGTTTCTGTAAATCTTTTCTTTCCTTTCCTTGGGGGGGGGGGGGGGGAAAAAAAAAAAAAACAGTTGGGAAGATTTAAACTTCTAACAGAGGTGACTGATGTGGGAAGTCATGGAAACACAATCCAAGTCTCAAAAAAACCAACCAAATAATAAAAGGTGAATAAAAGAGAACACAAAATACTCATATTTATTTATAATTGATAACTAGGCATACTTATGCCTAGTTATCAATTATTTTGAAGCAGCAGTATGGTCTTTTTTCCTCAGAGATGAAAACCTCCAATCATATTTTTACTTGGATTGTATTTGTTGCTTTGAACATCAAATAAATATTCCATCTATTACCTAACACTGAAAAACACAGTCCTTACTTCTGATTTTCCCTGTTTGTGAGCAATTAGCTGAGCAATGCCTTTTTTTGCTACATACCATTTACATGAGCAGAGCATTCCCCTGAGAAACAGGTGGACCAGGCTGTGCTTTTGTTTCCAGATGAGAAACTTGACACCTGCTTTCTTAGGACAGCTGCAATAACTGTGTCCTTTAAACTAATGACTGACTTAAACAGCCCACTATTAAAGCCCACGTGCTGGAGGTCCAGATAAGCTTTCAAAGGAAATAAGAAACATCCGAGGATGGAGCAGCTTTTTTCCTGAAATAGAGCTAATCAGGCACACTGGAAGGAGACAAAACAGGTTTCACCCTGGCATCCTCAGCTCCTTCAGCTGAGTGTCCACTCCCAGGTAAGCAGTCCTGTGAACACTGAAATGAATGGTGGCGGAACATGGTTGATCCAAAGAACAAGACAAAAAGTACAAAAAATGAAAATAAAAAATAGCCAGCAAGAATCTGACTTACCTTGTGTATCATCACACCTAAAACTGTGTTTTCACTTTACACAACCAACAGATCGCAGTGACTCATAAACAGAGCCTCTGGTCTGGCTTCCAGCTGCTCCTGAGATATCTTGGCAGTCACGGCAACACGAAGGTCCAAGCCCTTACAAGGGGCAAACGTGCCACCTGCCCCGCTCACCACCTCTGCCTCGGGCACTCCCTCCCAAATTAACTCCCCTCCCCTGCTCACTTTCCATACAGAAGAAATGCGCTCGGCAAACACCTATCAGGGAGGTACAGAAATACCCCATTACTGTTGGAAAATAAGCTCTCACAGTGGAAAGAAAGGGAGGAAAAGGAAGGCTGTTCAAACTGGAGCAGTTTACAATGCCTTTAAACTGAAAGAAGGTAGACTTAGATTAGTATTAGGAAGAAATTCTTCACTGAGGATGGTGAGACACTAGAACAGGTTTCCCAGAGTGGTTGTGGACACTTGGAGGTGTTAAAGGCCAGGCTGGATGTGGCTTTGAGCCACCTGGTCTACTGAAAGGTGCCCCTGCCCATGTCAGGGGGTTGGAACTAGGGGACCTTTAAGGTCCCTCCTAACCCAAACCATTCTGTGATCCTGTGACTTCCAGAGGGATGAGGCTTGCTTTAGAGTTCAGCTGACCTTAAGCAACTCGAGAACTGAGGATTGTTGAGGGTTTCAATTAAAGGCTGTAGTTCAGTTTGACAAATTTTCAGTGGTTGTATTAACAAGCAACATCTTGAGGGTCTATAGCAAAACCAAACAAGCTGGAAAAGAAGAAAGTTTGGAAGTTTTTCCTCCTGTCATTCAAATAAATTTGAAATGAAGCATGTTGATTAGTTGTGAATAGGAAAAAAACCATAAGACTTGAGTGACTTTTATCAAATTAGACTTTTTTTTTTTCTCATTACTATTCCACATTTAGAATTATGGCTGTCTGAAAGAACCACAGCAAACTGGGAAGTTTAATTGAGGGTTTAATTGCTGGCTAACCAAACTGTCTGCTTTGTTTCAGAGTCACTCAGCAAATCTAAAACACATTTTTGCATATTCTCATGCTAATTTTTTGATTATATATTCATCATACGCCTAGACCTGGATGTAAGCAGTGAGACTTGTTTGCAGACAGTGATTTTGTTTAGTCAAATTCAGAGAAGTCTGCAAAGGACTTCAAGGAGATTTTAATCAAGCTAAGTGAAAGGCTAATATAACAGCACATCGAGTCCACTCCTGAATAATGCAAAGTAATGCAGACAGAAAGGGGAAATAAAACTCCTGCAATCCACAGAGCTCTTTTAATTACAGGAAAGTCCTAGAAACATTCTGGGTGGCTCTATGAAAGCTGCTGATCAATATGCAGCTGTAATGAAGGAAAGGGTGTGTTGAAACAGTACCAGAGGAGGTGAATCAGTGGCATTCTGCACATCCATCCACCTCAGAAAGGACACTATGTAATTTAGCAGAGCTGAGAGGACAGGGAAGATGATTAAAGGCAAGGTATCATCTCTCATGAAGCCAAACTGGGAAAAAAAGTAAAATGGTATTATTTAGGGAACGTCAAGTAGCAGAAAAAGTTAGGACATGTCTCGGCACAATTATGAAATTCACATAGCATTTATAATAACTTTGGAAAAACACACCTCAACTGCAGAATGCAATGCTGTTCACATTTTATAGTGACACGTTTTAATACACCTCAGAGAGGAGGCGGACACAAACACAAGAACATCCACAGCTGAACCAGTAAGTGCAAAGGGAGGTTTGGAAGACAAGAAGCCTCACACGCCAGCATACAGCACTGCAGCTTAAAGGCTTGCCAAAGTCTCCGAGAGCCTGAATGACACCATGTTTTATCCTCGGGTTTCCTGCATCTCCTTATAAAACACCTGCCCGCAGGTGCGGGATAGGGGGACAGGGTGGGACGGCAGTCAGGATGCAGCGCGGGCTCGTCCCCGCCGTGTCACAGCTCCAGAGCGCAGCCCCGTCTGCTAAAGGCTCCCCGCACCCTGAAGGGTAACAAATCCGACACAGCCCTTCGCGCTTTCCCTGAAAAACGTCCACTTTCATACATTCGTATAGATATTCCTATTTTCGTGTATTTCCAGGCCCGCTAACTCACCTTTGAGCAGTAGCTCCCGCTTTTAAACTTTGTCCCCCATGAAGGAGAGCCTTCCCCTCTCGGTCCCCTCCAGGAGCCTCGCACCGCCCCCCAGCCGGGGGAGGGCTCCGCGGTGCGGGGCCAGCGGCTCCCGGCCCCCCCAGCGCCCGGCCCGGGCCCCACCTGAGCTCCAGCTGGTCCAGGTTCTCGAGCAGGCGGCTGGAGCGGTCGGCCATGGAGGTGGAGCGGTAGAAGCGGCCGCGGAGCTGCCCGCCCGACTGCTGCTGCTGCTGCGGCTGCTGCGGCGCCCCCTCGCTGGCCTTGGCGCTGATCCGGGCCTGGGCCATCCCACCCGCCGCTGCCGCCGGCGGAGCCTCGCTGCGGCCGCTCCCTCCCCGCGTCCCGCAGGCGGCGGCGGCGGCCGAATGCCGGCTCCTCGCTCATGGCCAAAGAAGGAGCCGCCCCGCCGCCGGCCCCGCGGCCACCCCGCCCCCGCGCCGGGCCCGCGGGCGCCGCCTCACGCAGCGCGGCGGGGCCGCCCCGCCCCGGCCGGGGGCAGCGGAACCGCCGGACGGGCCGGGCTGGGTCAGCCGGGCCGGCCTCCCTGCCCCCTCTCGAGCGAGGGACGCTCCACAGCCTCTGTGGGCAATCTGTTCCGCTGCTCGATCACCTCGACAGTGAAGCAGTTGTTCGTATTCAGGTGGAACTTCCCTTCCTGTGCATCAGTTTCTGCCCATGTCTCTTGTCCTATTACTTGGCACCACGGAGAAGAGGCTGCTCCGTCTTCTTGACACCCGTCCTTTGGGTACGTAATCACATTGATGAGGCCGCTCTCAGTCGCCCCTTCTCGAGCTGAGCAGACCCAGCTCCCTCAGGCATCCCTAGTACGGGAGATTCTCCAGACCCCTGCTGGGTTAGCTGCCCCAGGAGCTCCCTGTCTCCCGTCTCTGCCCTCTCGCACACGGCCGCGCGTGGGGCTGAGGCCGCCGCAGCCGATTGTGCCCGGCTGTGCCCGGCACCGCGTGTCACCTGCGGGCAGGTGCCCGCGCAGCTGTCCGGCCCCGCACCGACACACGGCAGCCTCTGCTGCCTCTGCTCCTCGCTGGCACCGTCCGGGGCACACACCCGGGCTGTCCCGCTCCTGTCTCCGCTCCCCTTTGTAACAAAAGCAACAAAACCTGGACCAGCCAGGAAGGAAGGAGGAATAATGATGCTTTCAATATCTGTATTAGCTTTGTGGGAGATGGGAGCTATTGGTATGAGGATTTGTGTTCCAGAACTGGTCTGTGGGCTGGTTCATTGGTTTGCTCTTTCATTAAAGAAAACAAGAAACCCACAACTACCCAAAGGTTATTTTTATTTAAGGCTAATTAAACAGTAAACTACAAAACTGAAAACAGTGGAAAGTGCAAAAAAAGAGAGGAGGAAAAATAAAGGGCTTTAAAAATCCAGAAGCTTGAAAGAAGACAGAAGTTAAACCAGGGACAGCCCTTACTGCAAGCAGAACCTAAACAAAATTCCTAAAAAAAATTTTAAAAGAAAAAAAAAAGGTACTTTGTATGCTACTTATAGTGCATCTTTCTCCTGCCAACTGCAAGAGCCCCCTACTACTTGCAGAAAAGCAGCTGTTTCACCAGCTGTTATTGTAAGATTCTACAAAAAAAGCTTACTGGAAATAAAAGTGATTTGTATTCTCTTTCTATGCCAGAGAGAAAAGATACATCTATTTCATGGTAGCCAAGGTAGCTGATCTACATCTAGTAATGACTTGTCCCAAGAACATATTTAATTTGCCTGTATAAAACGGTTCCTTCTTTCTCACAAGCACCAGCAATTCAAGTCACACATAAGTTTTAGTTACCACTACTGTGAGTATTTAAAAAGGAATTTGCTTATCCCAAAAGACAAGGTTTGGGCAAATACCCCATGGCTCTAACAGACCAATTTTTGGCACCCAGCTAAGAGGGATTTTGTTGCACAGGGATACTGTTTTGTATGCTTATCCTGCTGTGATTCAAAATAGCTGTTTTCTCAGGCTCGTCCATTCAGAATGATATCATGTCCCGAGTACTCTCGTTAAATTAATTGCCTGAGTTTTCTTTGTTTTACATGGTTGGATAAGCAAGGCTCGTTGCCTGTGAGCTCATGGAAATAGCTTCATTTGAACAATTGTTCCATCCATCTCTCTACAGTCTCTATAGAAGATAATTAAAAACCATTTCCCACCCCAAACAGAACCCATTTGTAGCCATGACACATAGTTTGCTACCATTTATTTCCTGGGATCCTTCTATTCATCCCATGCCAATTTATTAAGCTTCAATTAGATTGGGTTTAAAAAGCAGAAATCAAAGTAGCTGAGCAGCTCTGAACACTTTTTTCCTCCACACATAAATAGGGGTTTAATTCCACACAGGTAGAAGTCACAACAGCTGAATCAGAGGCGCAGAACAGCTCTCAGTGTCCAAATGTATCACACTTGACTTACCCTCTTTAACAGCAAAAGGACACTTTACACAAGAAGGAGGAATAGCAAAACTTTGGAAACGAAATGCAAATTTAAAAGTAAAAATAGTCTTCCAGGACAAGTCTTGAAATTACTGCCTGTAAAAACAGGGATATTTTCCCTTACAGAGGCTTGGAAGGACCTTGAAAACTGCTTTTCCTGCTCTCTAGAGTAGGTTGCCCCCACCCCCTCTATTTTTGCCAAGGTATGTAAAAGGACAATTGGCATCACTTTTCCAAAATAATAACTGGTTGGTCTAGAAAGATTGGAGTCCATCCCTGCAGGAAGGAATGTGATTCGCAGCTGAGTTGGAGGAATTTTGAGGACAAAAGGCAGGAATTGTGTCCTTCAGGGAGGCAAGGAGGCAGAAAGGGCCCCACACATGAAACAAAGCACAATTTCATTCTCCTCCTTGCCATCACTGGTGAAGCATGTTTAGGACTGCTGGTGAAGCCATGCTACATCCCTGTCTCCTCCCATGTCCGCACATCTGTGGTCATGTGAAGGACTGCACAGACCTGCTCTCACTATGGGCACCAGCAAAAACGTGAGAAGAGGGTGTGTATCCCATTGTTCCTGCATTCCCATCACAACAGTGAAAACATTGTCTGTCTCTTGTTTAAACTACAGCGTTGTAAAGAATAGGTGCTGATTACAAAATAGAGCAATGAACAGAAGTCTCATTCACATGCACAAAGTCCCTTGAGACAGCAGAAAGAGCAACTTTTCCAGGTCTCACACATCTGATGTAGAAGTCCCAGAGCCAGGGAGATGACCTACACCAAAAGCACTGCAAATTTTAACACTACTAAATAGCACCTTATTTCCAGCTTTGCCTTATTTCAAATCCTGGTATATGCCTTGTCACATACCCTAACACTTACACATGAGCTGTCATGGAAGAGGATCAAAGAGAAAGTCCACACCCAAGAAATGCCATGCAGGATTATTTTCCTGCCTTCATCTACAGGAATTTAGTATTTTCAAGCTGAAAGAGGGGAAGTTTAGGTTAGATACTAGGATGAAATTGTCTTCTGTGAGGGTGGCGAGGCACTGGAACAGGTTGTCCAGAGAAGCTGTGGATGCTTCATCCCTGAAGGTGTTCAAGGCCAGGATGAAAGAGGCTCTGACCAAACTGGTCTACTGGGAGGTGTCCCTCTCCACAGCAGGCTGGAACTAGATGATTTTAAGTTTTCTTCCAACCCAAACAATTTGGTGGCTAAGAACCTTCCTTGTGCGCAGGTATTCTGGAAGCAGTAGTTCCCAGACGTGGCTGAAGGATGCATCCATGGCTCAGGCCAGCCAACCAAAACCAGCCTGCAGCCTCTCCTGCACTGCAACAATAACAATAAAGATGGGCCAACCTGACTTTTCAGGCTATGTTTTCCATCAAAACACATCTGCTATCACAGTAGGCTGCCCCCTCACTTCACACCTGCTGAAGCTGTGCTGCTGTGTCTTTACTGCTGCTCTTACCAATGCTAATTAAAACTAGCCCGGGTTTGCCTCTACACGCTGCAGTTTTTACTGTGTAGGCAAGCCCTGAGGTCCCAGGCCTGTTAGAAGTCTGAATGAAGTCCTCTGTCTCAGGAGCAATCTGAGAGCTGCTATGACCATTTTGGGGCATGCAGCAGTTCATTCTCACTAGAGCAAAGTCGATGATTAAATGAGGCAGTGCATTCTGTACAGCTGCAGATGCTCAGTCTATTGACAGTGGAGCTCTGAGCTAAAAAGCAAAGGGAAGGACCACCAGAAATCAGGATGCTGCAGTCAGTGAAAGCCAATTTGCAGATTTACAAAAGGAACTTTACATTAAATTTCCATGCACGCAGAGCTTTGCTGTTCAAGTACACACTTGGCATGTTCTTGCCATCTGCCATAAATTTTCTGACTTGTTTACATCCACTTTTAGAATTATCTCAGACCATATAATTTGACCCAGATTGTTACTACTGAGCACCAAACCCCTTGAACTAAGAATTTCTACAGGAAACTTCAAGGGGTTTAGAAGTACCAAAGAAAAATGCAGATGCAGACTTTTCTAAAGCTGCTTAGCTGGAAAGAATTGCCAGAAAATATATTTGTGCTAATGTAAGCCAATTTTTTCAGAATTAATTTTGAAACAATTAATCATTCATCCTCCTCACCTCTTTCCAATTTACAGCAGTCTCTGTAAACATAGCCAGGACACTGCAAGCAGATGATAGAACACTTTCCTTTTAAGAAAGATGATGGCACAACTTCATACCTCTATAAACTTCACTATATTTGGTAAAGATTTCATAAAGGTTTGCATTCCATGACCACTACAGGAGCAGTGGTGGTCATTTCTGTATTCCTTGAAGAGCTAAGAAAATTAACCCAACACCCATAACATACATACAAGGCAAGTACCTTAAGAATCCACTAATCTCTCTTTTTAATATTCTTAAGTAACAGAAGCAACCAGGCAGATACAACACTTCAGTGCTCCAGTGACTTTAGTAACAGTTATACTGGCTTATTTGGTGTCTCACCTTGTGTCTGAATATGACCAGAAAGGGATTTTGTTTCATAAGAATGTGGCACACAGAGCACCAAATAATTAAGAGCCTTATACCAATCTCAAGTTGTCACAATTTCATTTTTGTAAAACTTAACACATGTGCCACACAGAAATTAGGAGCACTGGCATAAACAGCTGGTGGTAGTCAGGTAGAGATTAGACTTTGTCCTCACTAAAAATAAATACAAAGAAGCACTACTGAATTACTTCAGACTAACAAAGGATGAACTCAAACATCAACACAAAAGCAAACGCTCTTGAAAAGGGCATGAGAAATAATTTCTAGTACAAACGTACTGGGCAAGTCCCTTTTAACAGACAGGTTGTGCTTGTAAACACAGGCAGATTTCTCAGCACATGAAGGACAAAGCTCAGAAATTTCAGCCAGTTAAACAAGACTCACCAGACAAAACCACTGAATTCTGAAACACATTTACAAGACTTTTTCAGTTTAAGTGTTCAGCCACA